TGAGGCTCAGGAATCGAAAGATGTGAGTATGCTTGAAGTTTGTATTTTTCTTCACTGTTCTCTTAAATGTTGGCCATTCTAGACACAAGCATGTTTTGACACATTTCCTGGAGCTCTGTTTTAATTATTTTCTCTGAATATTATTTGCCTTTTACTGTCCACAAGGCATAGTTCTTGTCTGTTTAAGCTGTTGATCTAACCGCAAAGTGCGCTTGGACGAAACGTAATCCAGCCGCTCTTATTATAGCAAAATGAATTTACGCGCAATTCCGATATGTAGGCAGTGTTTCGGGTTGGAAATTATCAACAGACAGGCTGCAGGTTTGACGTTTCGTTTAACTGATGGTGTTAAGAATCGACTTTAGGCCCCGCCCTGGTCTTTAAGAGCTGCTCTTTATAGACCTTTACCATAACTTTCATGATTTAAGACCGACGACTCCTCTTACCACTTTTCCGGAACGTTCGGAGTTCTTAAGACTACAAGAATGATCTACTATGTAAGGCACCCGTTGCGATGATAGCAAACCCTATGCGTTAACGTTCTGTCATTGTCACGCTTTCTAAACGACCTAGTTGCCTGTTTAGTGACCCTTCCTAGTACACGAAAGCCCTTATTCCCTGATGTCAACTTGGACAACCTTTTAGACTGATAAATCAGTAAAGGCAGCAGTGCTTTTTTGATAATTCACAGTCAGATGAGGATTTAGAACATTTGGGCAATATAGAGTCTGAGATAAAAAGGACAAATTATAAAGAAGAGCAGGGAAAGGGCGTGGTGTGATTATTGAGGTGACAGTTCTTTTTGAAGAACCATGCTTAAGACTACAGATGTGGAGTCAAGCAGCAATTTTCTTTAATTTCGCCTGTGTATAAAATTGTTTTCATTGGGCCGATGATACTGACGCTCATTGGTTCAGAAGGGCTAAAGAGTCAAAGAAAAAGACGTACAGCTTGTATTTTTTTAATAATTCGTGATCACACCCAATTCTATGTCATTAAGCCCGAGATTCAGGCTGGCCTGGTCAATGGTCACAAGAAAAGCAGTCGTATACACTTCGACCTACCCCTACTTATTTCGTTTTACCCCTTTTGTGTGTTTTGAGACATGATGGTGATATTAGTTTGGTCGTCGCAAATGCCGGCGTCCAACGCGGATGCCCTGGCGCGAGCGCAGCCCCACTTACTTATATGAACTTTTGTTTCTGTTGAGGTAGACGTGCACTACATATGCTGCACCCACCGTCCTACTAGAACAAGATGACCGGGAATTAATGGGAACGCAATGACTCAAGAAGCTAAATTTCTCTTCTACACGGACCACACACGACTTGGTCGTACCTGCCTGAAGCAGGTTACAATAAGGGTGACAAATTTCACGGTAGTAGGATTGTCATGGTGGCCACATTAAGAAGGAACCACAGTATGTTCATGCCAGTCCTCCAGAGAATTCAAAATACTTACATTAGGGCCAAGTTATCTTGTTAGTTTGTAATCTACCCAGTGATGTCGCGAAAATCTCCAGATAAATAAGTTTATGTACCGTGGCGATGCATTACCGAGTCCTAATCCCTATCAGAACTCTGAGTACGCACCCTGTTTCTGAACGCGGAAAGCAGCAATTAATCAAACCTGGTGAGCTGATAATAAGGGATCCTCGAGTGATGTTGCGGATATAAGCCATTGAAAGTAGAATTACCTGTTTGGGGTATTGTCGCCAGTTTCAACTAGTTACTCACCAATCTGAAGCCTAGGAAGTAATGTTAAACCAAGTTGGCCAGTGAGCTTAATTCTCCATGGGCAGAAATCCCATTGGCTGCTAGTGTTAGCATTTAAAATCACATGGGGCTGGTTTTCAGCGATCACACTTTAGTGCGCATTTAACGCACGGCAGCAGAATATGAATTTCATCATTTTGAAAATAAGTAACCTGTAGTCAGTAGGACTCCATCAAGCACGTCACAACTGCCGAATTATCGGGCACATGACTGGCCAACCTGACTGTATTCAATAGACAGCGTGATAGGCGTTCTCTAAATCTGAAAACTTGTTAATCACCTGTGAACCTGAGGACTAACCTCTTTATCTGACAGCTATTTAATCCGCCAGGCATTTTTAATCTCTTAGGCATCAGATTGACTCGAGAGACGCTCTTACTTAGCAAACGGGGTCAAATGTCATGGGAAGGGCAACAGTTATTTGCGTAATCTATAATAACTTGCTCTGAACTTTGTCTTCGCCCTAAGAATAATGCTAAGGTAGGTTAATCCTAAGCGTTTATAAGGAGACCTATTTTTATTTATTTCCGATCTGTATACATCTGCATAGTCTGTTATCGTTGAAGTCAGCCTCGCATCGTAATATATGTCCTTTAAACCAAGACTACTGTCCTCGTTTCTGTTTGTTTAGAAGTTGGTATCGTGAGCCAACTTGCTCCCTTCTGCCTTTTTCTAAGTTCTGGAAGGGGATGTTCTATTAGGCGTGGATATGTTTACCCCTAAAAGTGCCTTTTAAATGTATTACAAGAAGCCTGTGGCACCAATACTTTTGCATTTCTTTCGATGTATTTAAGAACACAAGGTTTCATCTTCTAAGAACCCCATATTTCCACCATTGCCCTAATGTACTTGGATTTTGGTCATGGTTTATGAGGAGCTACACAATCGGGCGGCGTCCTTATTCGTATATGTTAAGTATCTTGTTTGGTTCCTGTGAAGCAGCCAAATCATTTCGAAGCTCCAGGCTGCTGATAAACTCCTATGAATTAGTGCATCGTTTTAGTTGTGAAGGCAACTAAAATGGCGACACTACACTACTGAGATGTTAGTTGGTTGTCTTGTTGTTTTCCACAGTAGTAGCATCCTCCCGTCGTGTAAGTAGAATAAGGACTAGCAAGCTGGTACCGACAGAGACAAGGGAGAGAGAGGGATGGCCATTTCTGGCTTATAAGCAATCACCAGCCCGTCATACGCAATCTAACGTTATAACCAACTGGGATTCGAACTTTGGATGTTTAGTCATCGCGTCAAACATTCTACCAATGAGCTACGTGATCGTTCTGTCCATTGTACTCGGGATTATAAATGATGATAACACGGTGTTCACTTATCAGGTAACGGGGCATACCCGTCTCGTTGTGCCCTTGGACTCAATCTAGAGCCCTCGCGGGCATTCGCATAGCAACTAGTGGTATTAGCTGACAAGATGTTATTGACAAAGACAAGGGAGCTCGGAGTTGCAATTTCTGGATTACCAGCCTTCATCAGCCAGTCACACACAATCCCAAGTAAATAGCACCATTAGTCTATTGTGAGGTCCAATGCACAACGGGACAAGCATGTTCCGTAGCCTGGTCTAGGGGCGCACATCTATCAGAAAAGGGATGGTTTTGCATGGTTATTCTGTAGAAAATAATAATAAAATGGTTAGTTGGTCAGATTATGCCGGTCTGCATTTCTCTTAGGTCATGTTATTAGGGTAGGCTTATGCAGGAATTCAACTGGAAACTCTGAGCCGTGGTTTGGTATAGTTGGAATCCAGCTTCCGCATTTCTCCCAAAGCAGAATGTAGCGAATTTCTCAGGTCGATTCCAGATCACATCCGGTTACTGAAACAGGCTTTTAGCGGCGTCCTAACTAAAACATCCGACGATACCCATGGCACACGAAGGTGCAGAAGACTAGGAGGTGCTTCTTAGACTTATTCGAGGATAAACTAAGGTTAACCCGCCTAGCCACAGCTCTTATAAAATCAAAGCTAAACAGTGCGTTATCACTCTGGAGTCAACGATTTCCGGAACTGAAAAAAAACTGAAATCCTGTCCAGAAAGTGTTTTTTTTGTCCAGCACATGAATTTGCTCCCATTCCCTTTCGCCCAACTTAACACTTATTCGTCGAGGACGTAAAATTTGTCCAGCTAGAAACCCTGGAAGTACAAATCAAAGGTTATTTTTGCGAGGAAGCGCACATTTGCCGTCTCTCTGTGACAACACAATAAACTCGGTCATTCTCTGTTTCCATATTTAGACTGAGAAAAGCATTAAAATAGGTAAACTGGGCAAAACGTAATTGCGCACTTGTAACAAAAGAGCTAAATCTACTCATGCGAGCCTTGCATGTGTTTAACTGATCCGACGTTAAGTAGGCGGTTTGAAATAATTTGTAAGTCTTACCCTAACACCCGAAAGGTTAATAAATTAAATTCGAAGCAGAAGGATCGTAAGAAAACTAACTACTTCTTTCTGAATTATTTGTTGAGTATACCATATTCTAGCAAAAGGTTTTGCCTAACGTTCATACTATCTACTGAATATAATTCCGCAGTCCTCCATTTAAGGTCCTTTTATGATTGATTCTTCAACAGAAGAGAGACCCGTGTCAATCATATTGTCAGACTCAGGACAGCAGTTTAGCCATAAATACTAATAACTGTCGATAGGAAAAAATATCTTGAATTCTTCCAAGGAACTGTTATAACGTAGCATTTAAACATTTATTAATTAAATTAAGAAGTCGGAGTTTCTTTCTTCTTCTCCGTACTCAATCGGCGTTCATGATCATCTATCGTAGCGCCCACAGCTTAATGTCCCAGATGATAAAAGTGGTCCGACATGTCATTTTGTGGTAACAACTGCTTCCTGGTGAGCAGGTCGACAGAGGGAATGATTTCCAGTGGGTATTTAACTCTTATTTGAATACTTTTTTCGCTTTGACCTGCTTATATCGCCGA